AGCAGTGCCTGAGCCCCTGCTGCTGTGTGTGGGAGGCGGTGGCTGCTGTGGCTGGAGTGGAACAAGGAGCGTGGAGCCCAGACCCCCCCAGCCTGCAGGCAGCATGACTGGAGCAGAGCTGAGTGGAGCCTGTTGGGAGCGTTGGAATGATTCAGGCTGCCCACTGGGGTTTGGAGCTCCCTGCCCTGCTGTCCTCTCCCTGGGGGCCTCCAGTGGGTGGGACTTGGTGTGGGAGGATGGAGCAAGGTGGGGAAGCTCAGTGCTGGAGCTGCACACCAGCCACACCATCATGGCAAGGCACCGCTCTCCACGTGGGGGCAGCAAGGGCAGTGTAGAGTTGTCGTCGTTGTGTCGTCCTGGGTGGACAGGTGGTGCTTCACCTTGACGGTGTAGCTGGCACGTGACTCTCCAGTGGCAGTCGTAGCAGCATCAAGCCTCCCTGCCTTGCTCCACCCTTTCACACCAGGTCCTGTGTGCTGGGCTACAGAGGTGGCTAATGCTGTGTGGTCTGTGCAAAAATTTGGGAGGGGCATATACTCCCCCAACATGTCACCAATGGGCCTGCCCAGATGGTCGCCAAGCCTTTGCCCTCCAACTCCCCTCCCCTCCCCCATCCCATAGACTTACCTTTATCCAGCTGCCAGGGCTACCCCCACTACACTGCCTGGCTGTATTGCTGGCCTTGTGTGTGTGTACCTGTATGCTCCCTCATGCCTCAAGTCGCCATCCCCCCACTCCTCCAGCCCCAATCAACCCCTTGCAGGCTGGAGCTCTGCCAGCCTGCAAGGGGAAATCCATGGTTTCCGGCTTCAAAGGGGAAAATCCATGTTTTTCCATTGAAAACAGAAAACCCAAGTCCCTGGTAATTATTAAGTCTCTGGCATTAAAAGGTGAGAAATTTCTCTTCTGTGCTTTAATATGTTGTTGGCAATTGGAATTAGATGCCATTAGGTTTTAACTTTAAATTTCCTAGGGTCCTCAACTAGTGAAATTGATGTAGCTTCAATTTCAAAGGAGCTACCCTGATTTAGAGCAACAAATTATTTGGTCCACAGTATTCTTTTGTGCCTACTAAAGAGAAATTTAATAGCAAATATAAGTACACAGACGCTAGCAAAAGAGTATAGCTTTCTGAAATAAACGAGCACTTGGTCTGCTTGTGGTGCCTTTCAATTTGTATTGTCAGTGGGTTACATAACTGCTGTACATCTCTGGTGCATGTAATGCATTTAACCCTTCACTTTTACTTTCTGTGCAGGCTTTGTGGTAGCTACCCACAGGAGATTATAGTTCCTGTTTGGATCACGGATAAGGAACTGGAGAGTGTGGCAGGCTTTCGTTCCTGGAAACGTATCCCTGCTGTAGTTTACAGGTGAGACCTCCAAATAGGAACAGTCACTGTCATCAAACTGAGTTCTGGGGTTTTCAGCAAACAAAACCTTATGGTAATTGAAATAGGCAATCTTAGGTCATAATGAAATGAACTCAGATGTTAGTGTAGTAGAGCTCAAAATAATTGCTAGAAACTACAATGGAAAGTAAGGTACCTGCAACAGACTTTGTAAATAGCAAGAAATACCAGAGTGACCTGCATAGTATCTTTGCTTTCAGGGTGTGCATGATCACAGGGATTAGAATACTGTTTGGGCATGTGAGAGTAGCCTGGTCACATTTTGTTTCCTCATTCCTCTGTTAACATTTTCAGCTCCAGGTTGTTTGTGCCTTCATCCTTTTTTGTTTGTTTGTTTTTTTACTGTTGCAGAACTCTTAGGTCAGACTGTAGCCTGTTACTCACCTAGTCACTTTTTGGATATTTTTCCTTCCTCTCAGTTTATACCTCCTTGTAATAATAGTGCACAGAGGGCCTAGTATAGGGGCAGGCAAAGTCCAGCCCACAGGCTGGATCCAGCCAGCAGTGGACTCCATTTCCCAGCAGCCCCTGCCCACCTGGTTGGGGCTAGTTTCCATGGAGACCCCAGCAGCTGCCTCCCTGTAATAGCATGGAGCCAGGGTTTCTGTGGACACTGGCCCCAGCAGTGCTGGCAGGGCACGCAGCTACTCTGCAGCTGGACTGAGATCTGGGTAGGAGCATGTAGGCAATGAATTGTGGCTGTGCCCAAGCTCCTTGCAGTGGTGACAGCATGGTCCAGAGCTGGGGCAGAGCAGTAATCAGGGGCATGCAGGCAACGGATCACAGCGCTTACCCAGCTGTCACTGCAGCAAGATCCATGTCCTCCTGGCATTGCTGGGACTAGTCTTCATGGAAACCCCTGCCCTTCCCCATCACACTGCAGCTGCTGCTGTGGTCTCCACAGAAACCAGCTCCAGCCATGTGGGCAGGGGTTGCTGGGAAATGGAGTCCAGCTGCTGGCCAGATCCACCATTTTGCCCACTCCTGGTAACTGGCAATTTGGGGGGGATTTGTTAATTTCAGAATACATGAGAACCATCAGGGTAGTTCACAATGAATTTAGTTTATAGCTGGTTGCCACACTCAACTGGTTGCTGCAGCT